ACACACACACACTTACCACTTCATAAGGAACATTAAATCCCCACATGAATCCGTTGCACCAATGATCTTCTCTGGCTGCAGTCCCCTCTCAAATCCCCTTGCAATCAGAACTTCATCCTGCAGCATATTTAAAAAGTTTGTCTTTACTGCTGTGGCCACTGACCCAACGCAACAGGAAACGTTTCATTTCTCTGTCATGACAGTGACACTTGACTCGATCCACAAGGCACCAATGAGAACCCTTCTGGTTACACTCTCACTGACCTCCTTCTTCTTCGGTGTGGAGCCCTCCTGCTCGTCATCATCCTTGGTGCAGATCTTCCTCTTGGTGGCTGAGCTTTCCTTTGAATGTGCGCCCGACTGCCCCGCGCTCTTCGGCTGCCCTTCTCCAGTAGGCTTCACGTAGGTCTTCATGAACTCTGCAATGAGCTCAGCGCAATCCAGGTTCTTCTCTGGCTCCCAGCTGTTGTGTTTCCTACCAGAAGGACAAGAAAAATAGGAATAGCAATGCAGAGTTGGGATTTTATCCATTGCCTTGATTTATACTCAAAGGCAGCATATTAACATGACCTTAACTAATAGGCCTTGTGATGCCAAGTGTAGTTAAATATGACAGTAACAATACTGTAATTAATGCCAGATGTTCAGTGAGCCAGTTCCATTCTACAGTTACATAATTACATGTTTCCTAGCTACTACAGTTATTGTTACCAGTCAATGAGTCTCCTGAAAGTGCGATTCTTTAATAAATCCAATTCTTTCATGAGGCACACGATTCCCATTACGAGGTAAAGTATTGGTACTGCAATGTAGCTACCATAAGGTTTTACTTTAAGAAATCTTTTAATATAATCAATTTCATGGAGAACACAAACAGAAGTCGGTCATGACATCCATTATGCTTCATAAGAAATATCTGTCACTGCTTCTTGTTCACAGCACCTGCATATTGTAAAAATGCGACCATGTCAAATTCATACTTAGGCGAGCGTCTGCCAATGAATACACTGAGGACAGGGTGCAACAATGCAGATATCTGGGTCTTCTGTCTTCCCTCCCACCCATGAAATCCACTCCAAGGTAAACATCCCAAGTCCATTAATACCCACTGGCTATTAAAGGAGTCCCTATAAAAAAAGTTATCCAAGTATCCAAGAATGAAGAGATGAAGTACCCATGTTCCTCTGAAACAGAGAGCCCCTCCCCCAATCCTTCACTCATCAGAACCGTCACTGTAAAGTAACACTGAATCTAACTAGCTGCATTAGCTAGCCTGCAGGCAGCGCTCACTCTGAATAGCCTTTCCACTTGAGGAAGTACTCCACACGGCCCTTCACCACCCTCCGGTCCAGGACTTTCTCCACCACGTATTCTTCCTCATTCGAGGACTCTTCCTCCACATCTGGGTGCTGCTGGGTCTTCTTTCCCATGGCTGGCAGGATGCTATCAGCAACCCAAAGTATGAGGGGGAGGGTGGTGGGGGGTCCTTAAACATTAACATATATGAAATATTAGAATGCAAGTATAGGGCATTGAATGTTACAGATCCACCCAGAGAAGACAGACTATGAAGAAGGCAACTTGTCTTTAGAATACTGTATCTTACCCTTTACTTACAACCGCAGACTGTTTGAGATTAAACGTGAAAACAGCAATTGAAGATACTGTTGCACCTTACTCTCCACAGAGCAACAGATGTTTCCCACCTGAAAATGAAAATAAGGTCAGTTGTTTTGGGTCTATGCGCACACGGCCTGTACACACACCTCCCTGTGTTTCACAGCCCCCCAAAATTTGATCATTGTGTCTTAACAGTGACAAACAGCATATATATATATTTTACATACATCGGTGACACACTCGACGCAGCACACTTTGCAAGGCGGAAGATCGCCAGGAAGTGAGTTCCATCTTTTAAGATAGAACTTACTAACGACGAAGCGTTAAGGCGGCTTCGGGAAACTCACCCCGGCCCCTTAATTTAAAGTACAGGACATACCGCCGCCCTACAAATGTCGACAAATTAACCTTTTGATGTCATCAATATCGATCATGAGGGTTTCATTTTCAAACCGCACCAGCATATGCAAAATCCCAAGCACTACACAAACGCATCCGTGTTAAACAACTACAAACCACGCAAAACTAAAGAAAACAAGGTCTCTTGGACCAAGAATGTTTCGTCTTTATCCCAGTTGAAGCGTTACGGTTCACAGATACTAAAACCTAGATGAAAAGATATACAGAAGCAAGTTCATGGCAACAACGTCTTGAAATTTTCATTACCAATAAGAATTGGCATGATAAAGTGTTTTGGCTTGCGTGTAAATCACAGGGGAAAATTAAACATATTAAGTATCGTACGTCGCAAAAGCAGTACTATAGTCTAACAACTCCAAATAGAGTGCATAATCCTGTATAGTGGGAGATTAGGAATACTATAACACAGTTCTACAGTTAGTTATAGTCTTAAGAAGATAGTTCGTCAGAAATCGCCATTTAAAGATGTATATGCAAAACTACTGAATACTGCGTTTTTTTTTGCAAGACACTTGAATCCCTAAAACGGAAATGTCCGTACCTGATAGCCTGTAAGTGAACAAACAGCAAAAATCAACATAAACACACATGTCTGAGATGCGACGCGACTTGAAGGTATGCGAATGTTCCTTACAGGAAATCCCACCTTCCGAAATTTCCGGCTATTGGTAAATCTCCAATTATAAAGCTCGATACGCGTCAGCCGGCAGATTTTAAACGTCTGATTGGTCATCATGCCCGCCTGTCAGCAATCTTTCAATACAGTAACAGCCCACTTTAGCAGACGTTGTTTCCCCGCTTCTCGCATCGTCCCCTTCGAGGAACCAGCAGTCTAAACAAGGTTTACTGTGGCAGTTGCACACTGCTGGACAGAAGACTGCGAAATGCGGCAACTTCAAAAACATTCACACGTCTAGTGTGTGCTAAATGTAAACTCGTCGAATAAACGGACATCTACTAAACAAATTATCCTAATCATTATTATATAAAAGCTCACCTGTAAAATAAGACCACATCTGACCCACTTCCTCTGTGTAATTACGCTTTTTCAGAAATGCTTCTATACACCTCGGCTTCTCTCGGTTCTTCTGACCGACTGCGCACGTACGCGCCAAAAAGAAAAAACGCGAAATTTCAGGTCACATTTGCGCGCCTGCTAAGTTACCGGCCCCCTCGTGATCTCACACTAATCCATTCCATGCCACTGAATTACTGCTGTCGCCATTAAGTTGAACGTAACCACTCGGTATCAACCATGCCAAACAACATGACTGCATTTTATATAACACGTTGACGTTTTTATTAATGAAAACGGTACTGTATTGTTCTGTATATTTACAAGTGCATTAACAATATGCATATGTTCCTTAACGTCAGTACCACACAACATGCAAGACCCGTAACTACAAACGCGACAAATGCGTAGTACTAAGCAGCAGAGAACGTCCATCCATTTAAAGAGACAGGTGTTTGACTTCATTATTTAAAAAATGTAATTCAATTGGTCTAGAAGTAGAAGGAAGTCGGACTCGAGCGAAATTTTGGCCAATCATCTTGTAGGAGACGTCGCCTCGCAATCACGTGTCGAAAAGCTGCCCGATAGAGGGGGCTAAAGCGCAGGCCCCCTTTTCATTAATGAGGCATTGTAGGCTTCGTGGTCTGTTTCTGCGTATCTGACCTTGTTTTTCTGCTTGTGCGACGTAGTAGCGAAACAATTTGCAGCATGTCTAAGGAGGTAGGTCTTAACATGGGTAACACTGTTGGTTTTTAAATATTATTCCCATAGATTTTAAGGTTATAAGATTATTTGTATATATTCTGCGTTACGCAATTGCCCTCATTACATAGCTAGCAGTGTTTCAGTATTATGATACGTCTATATTTAACTAAAGATTATGAGATTTGTGGTATATATGAACATGTTGAAGCTCTGGGTCACCGCTTACTTGATATTGCATAGTTTGCACATTATTGACGGACGTATCAGTTTCGGTCCGCCATTTTGCAACGGATTCCGCTGTCCGCGTGGCCGATAAGGGATATTTATCGTATTCGCTAATATAATTTTCATAATTCCTGTTTTTGGACAAATCGGCTAATTTTTCACATAACAAAGTCTTCCGTTAGTCAAGTTTTTTTTTTTTTTTAATCGGGACAGAATGTCTATCTTCTTCCCGGGGATAGAGCAAACATGGCGGCGTTCGTTTTAATACTCTCTCTCTTTTTTTTTTTTTTAAACCCCCGCCACACACACACACTTCAGAGGTTCGGTGCCAGGCCTGAGAGTATAACCGATATTTAGAACTGCACCTGCTGATGTTAATTTGTAATTCGTAAATTCTCCAAACGGATTCCGGGTGCTGGAACTTCAGTAGCATGAAGGATATTAAAAACGCCCCATATGCACTCCATGTTGTGTTCGTATAAGCCCTAATGATTTATTTAAGGCTACATACTTCGGCGGTGTTGCTGATTTGCCTCGTCCATGCACAGGCCCCGCGAGAACCGGAGCAGCTTCGCAAGCTCTTCATAGGGGGGCTTAGCTTTGAAACCACTGATGAGAGCCTAAGAGCTCACTTTGAGCAATGGGGAGCCCTTACGGACTGCGTGGTGAGTCTCCATTTTTTTTAGTTCGCTAATTGTAAAATTGTGCAAATTGTCCAGCTGGTCAAATGCATTTTCCTCCCGTTTTGCTGCAGGTGATGAGGGATCCCAATACAAAGCGTTCAAGAGGATTCGGGTTTGTCACATATTCTTCAGTGGAGGAGGTCGATGCAGCCATGTCTGCCCGACCTCACAAGGTGGATGGCAGGGTTGTAGAGCCAAAAAGGGCGGTGTCCCGAGAGGTGGGGCACCTATACTTTTTATGAAGTCAAAGGTTCATTTTTACCTAGGAGATGTGCAGCATTGATGGATGCATCTGTGCATTTCCACAGGACTCCTGTAGACCTGGTGCTCACATGACTGTGAAAAAGATCTTTGTTGGTGGCATCAAGGAAGACACAGAGGAGCATCATCTCCGGGATTACTTCAAGCAGTTTGGCAAAATCGAAGTTATCGAGATCATGACTGACAGAGCCAGCGGAAAGAAGAGGGGCTTTGCCTTTGTGACATTTGATGACCATGACTCGGTTGACAGGATCGTCAGTGAGTTTTCATCGAATTTGTGTTTCGTCAAAAAAAAAAAAATCCTTTTTTTTCTTGCTTGCTTCTAGTCAAAATTTGAAACCTTATGATTTTGTTTATATCATACAGTCATTGTTAACAGTATTTTTAAAAATATCTACAGTTCAGAAATACCACACAGTGAACGGCCATAACTGTGAAGTCAGAAAAGCTCTATCAAAACAAGAAATGATGACTGCAGGTATGAATATGAGAGGTAAGCAGGTCTATGAACTAGTGTGGTGGCTTTTCCTGGTGGTTGCGAGTTCAGGCCCCTAAAGTGCCGTGTGTGTTTGTTCAGGACGGGGAGGGGGCAGCGGTAGCGGAGCTGGAAACTTCAGCCGCGGCGGTGGATATGGAGGTATTTAACTCTCTAGAGCCCAACTTCTGTGTGTGTGGCTGATGGGGTGCAAATCTGATTCCTCTTTGACATCCTAGGTGGCTTTGGAGGAGGAAGAGGCAGTGGGAGTAACTATGAAGGAGACGATTACAATGGTTTTGGGGGCGATGGTGAGAAAAGGCACCTTGTCTCTATATCTAATACTGTGTGAAAGTGCAGAAGCGTCTCCCAGTGTTTGTGTAGCTGTTGCAGCGACAGGTTTAATGTCTGGTGGCTCTTTGCGATTCCCACAGCTTTGTCGTTTATCACAGTGTTTCTCAAAGCAGTTCTCAGGGACCACCCCAGATTGTCCACGTTTTCGCTTCCTCCCAGGGAACTGGGAGAGGGCGCTCTGGGGGGTCCTCGAGGACTGGTTTGAGAAATGCTGATTTATTGGACTGGTGGAGTTGAGGGTTTTGTCTGTAGAAGCTCAAAACAAACCGCTGTGTATGTATTTGCCAGATTCATGAAAGGTTAATATGCTTTCGTCCCATTGCTCATCAATTTCAATTCTGTTGTTCCTTCTCAACTGGATAAAATGTAGAGTGGGTTTCGGTGAGAGTCGGGTTGCCAGACATGGTATCTTGTCTCCTCAGATGGATACAGTAGTGGCCCTGGTTATGGAGGGAGCCGTGGTTATGGTGGAGGCCAAGGATATGGGAACCAAGGAGGAGGGTATGGAGGAAATGGAGGGTATGAGAACTACAACCATGGTGGAGGAGGTGGAAACTTTGGCAGTGGTGAGTTTTGTCTTGTGGGCATGGTTAACTTGGGACCGAGTAACCTGTCCTTGTAGAGGGGTTTCAGGTTCCTTTCTTTTGCAGGGAACTTCGGAGGGGGCAGCTATAATGACTTTGGCAATTACAACAGCCAGTCCTCTTCGAATTACGGCCCGATGAAAGGAGGCGGTGGCTTTGGTGGCAGGAACAGCGGCGGCCCGTACGGTGGTGAGACCCCCACCCTGCCTGTTTAACGTGCAAGCTACGGATCTGCATCTTGGCACGAACCATTCTGGACATCTGCACCATTATTGTTTTGCAGGGGGTTATGGTGGCGGTTCTGGTGGCTACGGCGGGGGATCTGGAGGCCGCCGGTTCTAATTGAGAGGTAAGCACAGCATTGCTCTGATTGGCTGGTCACTTGTAGCTTTAGTTCCTTACTGTAACTTGATTTGGCAACAATTCAGAGTATCTGTAGATCCCATAAGGCCATTGAGACTAGTTTAAAGGAATATTAAGCGCTTTGTATTTTGTTCTACATTTAGTCTTTTATTTGCGTAAACATTTGAATTGAGGGACCCAGCAGCAAACCTTCATGTTTGTTGTTCCAAACTCTTGGAGTTGGAATCCCGAATTGGAATTGATTTTAAATTTAAATATCGGTTTTTGGATCTTGCTTCCCAAAGCGAAAGACAACAGTCTGAAAATCTGAAGGCTTGCTTCTGATTTCTGTGGCCCTGTTAAGCAGCTTTTCTTAAAGGAGGACAGTGCCCAGTTTAACAATGTTGTTCCATATTGTCCAACAGGAATCAGTACTTAGGAGAGGAGAGCCAGAGAAGTGACAGGGAAGCTGCAGGTTTACTCCCTATTTCTGCTCAGCCAAGCGCAGTTGTGGCAGGTTTCAGCTGCGACATGAAGAGAAGTGCTCATAAAATAGAGAAGAAAAAAAATCATGTCGGAGGCGGGGGGGGGGCTTATGTAGTTGCTTTTTGTGTGAAGTGTAAAACATTCCAGGGGTTTTTGTAATTTTTTTTTTTTTTTTTTTTTTTTTTTTTTTGTAATGCCCATCTGGTGTTTTTAATGTAACAGACAAATCAAGTTGAAATAAACCATCTTTCAGTTTTTTTTAAATAAATGTGCGTTTAATTTAACATAGGTGGGAGATTTTAATATGGTGTCCTTAAAGGGAATGCCTCGGGTGCCTTTGAATTGCTGTTCATTCGCTTAATCTGGTCACCTGTGAATCTGGCGTCCTGTTCTGTAACATGCCACGGCCCTTCTGTAGCGGCTGGGTTGCGATGATGGTCATTATTCTTGAGTTATGAAGACTTTTCTGCTTGTGTGGTATACTGTAAATCCTCCCTTTTTAGAATTGCACCTTTAGGAGTGCATGGAGTATGACTGTGGTTCAAACAGCCTTGGTTTCTCTCTTTGCAAAATACAGCATGCAAGATAAAGGGTTCGAATTGAGTCTAGATCTTTAAGCATTGTTCAGGTTCCTCCAACACTATATATCATTGCCATGGTCTTGGAAGCCTCGTCTCTCCATCAAAGACCTTTCGATGTTCAAAGCGGGACAGGAAAGCCATTCCTAGGCCTGTAGCTACTGTCACCCTGGGCGCCGGTGGCTTAGCTTACATGCAGAGCTTGAGGCTAGGCTTGGAAGCCAGCTGAGGGAAAGAAGTAGCAAGATCTTCGCAAGAAGCCAGTGACGCAGGGGACAGTCTTTGAGTACAGAAGGTTGCTCTTTTAAGAATAGACAGCATCAGCTACGAGGGGTATTTTATACCATACTAGTAGGTAAGAACAGATTTTTCAACTTTACTATTTGTATGTTTGCCGAAATACTAAATAGCAGATCAGAGTTTGTTTCACACAGTGTGTTCACTTGAAGTGGTGAAATTGAGTCTTGTGTTTTCCTTTTTTTAAGGGGTAATGTTTTCTGGGTAAGTATGGGATACAGCTCTATTTGAGTGGTCATTTGATATCCCTGTTTGATACAAACCCTGACTGCTTGAATCAACACTTAATGTTTAAATTGTCTGGATTTTGGTTCTGAATTGTGTTATCGGCCATTTTGGTAAAATCCTGTCCGCTCGTAGCAGTAATGCATGCATTGTTTGGTAGGACATGTTTGTGAAGCCAGGGTTTAATGCTAAAACATCGAAGCAGCAAAATTTATGTTGTCATCAAATTTGTGAAGTTTCTAATATTTCTTTTGTTCTTATTTTCAGCCATGTGAATAATGTTGGCACACGAAGAATGCTAGACGTCTGCGCTTCCTGCACTTTACTCAAGGGGAAAGATGAGAGGTTTTAATTTTAATTTTTTTCTGCTGAAAACCAAATTTGTGGGCACCCACCACCCCTTGTTTGAGTATGCAGTCATGCGTAACTGAAGAGTGGGGATGTTCTAAGAATCGTATCATTAGACGACTTTCGCTGTGTGTGTGTGAACATTTTAGTGTATTTACACAAACCCAGGCTGTATGGTATTGCCTAAATCAGTATTTCCCAATCCAGTCCTCTGGGACCCACACACCAGTCCACATTTTTGCTTGTGAGCTGGGAAGGAGCACAAATGTGGACTGTGGTAAGGTGCACCACCTGTGGGTGCCCAAGGCCTGGATTGCGAAATGCTGACCTGGAGATTTTTCAGCTCTACTATAAACTCAGGGTACCACCGTCATGTATGCGGTCCGCTGTTGACTGAAACATTGGTATGCAGCGTATGACTAGTTGATTCCTGCCTTAGAAATGTTCAAAGGTTTTTAATTTATGCGTGTAAATTAACACATTCTTTCTCTTCTAGGACCTGAGTGTGTGGGAGCACCATTTGAAGCTGTAGCTGCTGGGCAGCCTTTTTATGTAATAAAACTTTTTTTTATAATAGTTTTGTATCGCCTTTTTTTTTTTAAATGGGGAGATTTTATATGCAGGATCCCAGTGGTTCACTTAACATCCTGGGGGGATGTTCCACAAAGCAGGATTTCTCAGTTGGCTAGATTAACTTAATATAGGAGTCATGATTGTCCAATAGGAATGCTCCTTACCTGAAAGCTTATTGGACAGTCGTGACTTCTAGCTGAAGTTAACTTGCCTAACTTGGAATTCATGCTTTGTGGTCAACACTTGGGTGTGTCTGTTCCTCATAGGACTAACTGAAGTACAGCTTTATTTGGCCGCATTAATGATGTTGCTCCTGTTGTGTTGTTAAATGTCAGGGCTTTGGATTGTCTTCCTGGCAGTAACACTTGTGCTCTGTGTTCACATCTGCATGAAAAAGTAGTTGTTAAACAGATCAGGAAGGACTGAAATACACGTCCCTTTGGAGGAAAGCCGTGCTGTAAATATCATGCACTTACATCACCATGTCCCACTTAGTCACACTGTCAGTAAAACTGAGTCGAACATCTGAATATTGGCTTCACGAAGCTTTATGGTTTTTGGGATGCTTGGTCTTATCCTTGCATAATTTTTTTTGTTACCTCCATGGACAATTTTTTTTCTAGTGTTGTCCTGTACCAGGAAACCTCATGCTTTACTACTCCAGCTATATTAAAAAATAAAAATCCAGCAGATGGATCTCTGATAGGCAGTAGGGGTAAAATCATCTAAACGTTCCCCAGGGTGAACAAAGCAGGTGCTGACAGGCTCCAAATACGCCCAGCTCTACTCAGAGATCACTAGTGTTTATGAATCCAACTGAAGGGTGTTGGCATTCAATACTGACACCTTTGCTGCTCAAATAACAGATTGCAACAGTTTTCACTGCTATATTACAGGACGTTCAGAGTTTAAAATAGCCGTTTAATACATGCATCATTTTATTTATATATATATATATATATATATATGGGTGCTAAAAATATATTTTATTCTTCAATGGTGCCAAACCATTTTATATTTAAAAGAATGCAGTAATAACATCTGTATGAGAAGCTGAGCAAATGTCAGGTGACTGTATAGTACTTCCGTGTTTTGTTCTGCATCTTCAGACATTCTATAATTTGAGAACATAAAGCTCAAACTTAAGTTTGTAATCAGCAAGTGCATCTGGGAGATGTCCATATTTATCACCTAACGTCACACTGAGGAAACAAGGGTCTACCTGATAAGCCCTCATTGCTGAGGAAATTGTTCTAGGGGTCAAAACTGATTTCTAATTGAACTGATTTCTATTTGATCACTCAAAATATGTTTTAGTGTTATTTTGCCAGTTACTTTATTGCCTGTTAAGAAATTCATGCAATCGTCGCTACAGGAGAGCCACCACAACACTTCATCCTGAGTACAGACTACGTATAAATTTGTAAGCTTACTAAGGACAGGGAAAAGGTAAATCTGACCATATGACAATTGACCGTGTATTTTTTTAACCACTTAAAAACGTGCATTTTCATCTTTTTATAAAGCGCTATTGGAGTATGTTGTCCTTTTTTCCAACAGATTACATAGCGGCATGTTAGACCAGAGGCTATATTGTATGATTTGACCCTATGGGGGGCTCGGCACCCCCGCCAAACAGGACCTCACCGCTTATGACAGATTAACGTTTATGGTGAACCGCCTGATTTCACCACCTACTTTGCCCTCCAACAAATATCCATTTTACGGCAACCTCACTGGTAGAGAAGTTTCTTTTTCAATGAAGTATTTTAAACTTTAATGTTAACACATTATGTGTATAGGGAATTTACACTGAGAGTAATTATAAGGACACATTGTGAGAGCAATTTGAGTAAATAGGACGCTAATAGAACAGTTGTTAATGTTGCTAAAACCATGTGCACTTAATTAATCGTGACTTTTTATCTTATCTACTCTGGCTCAGAAAGTTGGGCAGTGTGTCTTTATTCTCAATAAATTAGTTTTTTTAACCTTAAACATGATTCCTAACAGATACCGTTAAATATGTTGAATGTTAAAACGAGGGAGACATGTCAAATAAAAACTAAAAATACGCCAGTAATTTTTCTTCCTTTTTGGCAAATCTGAGGTAGTCTTGCCACTTACCTTACAAATAGTAGGCGGGCCAGCGGCACCCGGAAATGTGCAGCTCTGATTGGTTCTCCCGTAGCCATTCAGCAGGGGAAATGTTTTGACGAACGTGTGCTGACAGCCAATGGGAGATGCTTTTCTTACTACATCCACGTCGACTGGAAAGAAGAAATGGACGCGATTATTCTGGTACTGTAATACAGATATCATGTGTTGCGGGGTTGACGGGGATCTTGTGGTGTGTATATATGTACGAGTAGTCACGGTTTTCGTGGTACATGGTGCAGAAGTAAGCTCGTCTGCGAAATGTGAGCCAGTCTGAAGCGTAAGGCCTTCCTAAACATGCCGGTCCCGGTATTATACAGAAGGTGTAGTCGGGAATGGGCGACGGACAGGCGACTACGGGTGAAGGTGGTAGTTTACACGAGATTTTGTGTTCTTGTGTCTACTGTGAAATGAAATATAGAGACAGGCGACTGAATACTTGATAATTAATTCGTTTTGTTCGTTTCAGAAAGTTTTTGTACCACCGTATTCCCCAATTGGTATTTATTGAAATATAATTGGGAAATATTGCGATGTCATTCTCTCCCTCAGTATGGTCACGGATTTTTATTTGTGAAAATAACAGGCTGCTTTTACTCTTTTAATGTCCTAGCATGAACCCAAGGGGAGATGTGTATGTAAGGCAGTGTCTTGGACATCACGTGATACTTATCCTTCTTTTTTGGTTTCCATCCTTTTAATGTCCTGCCACTTATATGTATCGGTCAGCTGAGATGCATTTGAGTTTCTGGTCCCTGTTTGCGCTTCTCAGCAGAGAAGTGACCCGCTGAGGCAGCCTCTGAGGTGAAGTTCTGTTATACACGGGCTGTGGCTCCCGGGAGGTCAGTGCATCACAGAACTTTGTCTTGGGAGCTTGGCTGCGGCGAAGTCCTCGGGGTCACGGCCAGGGCTTGCAGCGGCCCCCTGTGGTACAGCATAGAGCCCCGGCATAGGCGTTGGGGGACTGCATCCGTTGACTGCATTTTGTTTTGTCTGACAGGAGCCCTCTTTGTACACGGTGAAGGCTGTCCTCATACTGGACAATGATGGGGAGAGACTCTATGCAAAGGTAATACCGTTTCAGTGAAGCACCATGTTGAACACAGGGGAATAGGATCAGTTACAGTGAGCACAGAAATCAACACAGGTTGTTTCCTCTTCATACTCCATTTTTGTCCCACAATCACGAGACAGAGACTAATTGGTTTCTCTAAATTGCACGTATCCTGTGATCGTGCTGCCTGGGAAGGGCTCCAGGCCTCCTTGTGACTTTGTCCAGGGCAGATGGGTGGATGGATGGTTATTTGAAATTTATGCATAAGATGGCTCATGTTAAGTGAGGTGGACAGTTTAAACTTGTTCAATTTGTTCATGCTCTGCTATAACCCCAGAACCCCCATTGCTTATCAGCATTTTCCCTGCAGTATTACGATGAGACGTACCCCACGGTGAAAGAACAGAAAGCTTTTGAGAAGAACATTTTCAACAAGACCCACCGCACAGACAGTGAGACTTTTTTTTTTTCTTTTTCAAAGTATAGCACATGTTTGTTTGTCATGTATTAATCCTTAATAAATTCTCTATCCATTCTCCACCTTTGTAGGTGAGATTGCTCTGCTTGAGGGACTAACAGTGGTCTACAAGAGCAATATTGATCTATACTTTTATGTAATTGGGAGCTCGCATGAGAATGAGGTAATTCTGTGTGTAAATACCTTTGTAATCATCCTATTTATTTCCCCCAGTAAGTAATTTTAATGATCTGTCCATTTCCCCTTCTAGTTGATGCTGATGTCCGTTCTGAACTGCCTGTTTGACTCTCTCAGTCAAATGTTGCGGTAAGATATCACCCTGTATATGTTAAACATATTTTTGCATTGTTTCATTAAGTAAGCATGTTTTTTTCGCCTGTCAATATTCAGGAAAAACGTAGAGAAGAGAGCTCTTCTGGAGAATATGGAAGGACTTTTCCTTGCTGTCGATGAAATCGTGGATGGAGGGTAAGTGCTTCTCGATATGCCACTGGCACCGCAGACACCAGCTTTCAGCTAAATATTTCCTCGGTCCTGATGTGGCTGAAGAGGCCCCCCCCCCTAACTAATAAGGCCCCCCCATAACTAAACTGCCTGAGATGTTTAAATTTCCCCAGTTTTGTAGTAGCACAGAAACACTGTTGGACAAGCTGAAAGGTAACGTGATATTCTGTGACCCCCCAGAGTGATCTTGGAGAGTGACCCCCTACAGGTGGTGCATCGCGTGGCCCTGAGGGTAAGCTCTCTTCTGCCTTGTCTCCACCAACATGGAGCCAGTGCTGGGTCTTGCTTGGTGCTGTATGAGATCTTGCCTGCATTTCTATCGGTTTCAAAAAATGAACAAAATGGAAATGTTGCAAAAGTGAGAGTGAAGTAAAGGTTCATATGAATTCCATTATTTTGGATTTATTTTGATCTGTTTTGGATTTTAAGTTTTTCTAACCCGCTGAACCGAAAAAATGAGCCTTTAAGTCTCAGTTTTCAGAGTATGACTCACTGCACTCTGTCTCTTGCCTTCATCCACTTTTGTCTCCTTAAAGACTGTATTTCTCCCCTGTGTGTGTGTGTGTGTGTGTGTGTGTGTGAGTGTATGTGAGTGAGTGAGTTTATGCTGTATCACTGTCCTCTTAAGGATCTCACAATAAGAGCCTGCTAAAAAATTAAACTTTGCTGTCTGCCTCATGATCTGTTCATCACTTGAGCACCACAATATTATATTTATTTCACTTGTGACGTGTTGCTAATTTATTATTAATTCTATCCAGCAGATCGATCTTTCTTTTTCCACAAAATTTAAAAAATTATGTAACATTATTCTGCTAATAAGCTGGCAAGTTGTTTCACTGCTGGCACTGGCAAAGTATATTTATTGTTGATTGAACTTTCCGGGTTTGTGGATGGTTTGGACGCGACAGCCCGTCCCACTTTTGCTGATGTTACAGTTCCAAAATCTGAGACCAGCTTTTCTGTAGTGCCGTGCTGGAGCCATTATTTCTGGCCCAGGCCTTTGTTTTTTTTTTTTTGCAGTGGAAACGTGCGGAACCAGTTCCAGTTTGGGAAAAAGCCCAGCACTGGCTCCAGCACCGTGTTGATGGAAACGCATCATTTGTTAAATTTTTAAAAGCTGACACTGTCTCCAGTGTGCCCATGAGGGAAGGACTTCGAATTACAACTTCTTTTTTTTCCCCCACTAGGGTGATGATGTTCCTTTGACTGAACAGACGGTCACCCAGGTCAGTACACCTTAACTTCTGCTGTGGCTCCTTTTCCTCCACCCCAAGTCATGAGGGGATTGTCACTGATGTTACCTTTGCCTGGTTGGTTGGCAGCTATTTTAGATGTCTTACTTGACAGTACAGTCCAATACTTCATATTGAATACTAAGTGTTAAATAATTAAAATTGAATATACTTGTTTTTGTCCTGCCCTTTGATTATTCTTCATTTAAAACTTGTTGATATGTAACAGTATTCTTCTAACAATTTTTCATAAGTTTCTCTAATGAGTAGCACTTATTTTTCATTAATGAGTAGTTTTCACTAATGAGTAGCCTTGGATTTTTTCAATAGACTCAGCAACATGTGGCATTAACATGACGTTGAAACAAAGACGAGAGTCATTCTGAATATTGTTTTCAGTGACCTGTGAGCTTAAAAAATAGGCAATTGTGAACGTAAATTGTTATTGTAACTCTAAATTGTAATGATTTCCATATTGGAGCTCTGAAATCTATTGACATGATGTCACATAACTGACCAGGAAATGCCATTGCTTAATGTCCTGCTTTAGGTTGATGTTATTTAAATAGAATTTTGTGACTACTGAACCATTTTGGTATGACAAATGTTTTAGCCTTAATCCTGTCCTGTGTCTGTCATGTAGGACCCTCCATGAAAGAACGTATAAAAAGCATGTTTTCTGCAGAGCTGGAGATTGTTCAGTTCTTTGCTTCTTAATGACTATGTGGTGTTTCAGGTTGCTAATATGTCTGAATGATCTATAGTATCCAGAATTTTAATGTCCTGTAGTCTACTCTTGTGCCCTATGTTTCTGGCATAGGTTTCAAGCCCACTCACAACCCTGACCAGGATGAGCAGATAGAGAATAGATGGGTCTTTTGATTTATTGATCTGTGGCTTGTACTACGAAGCGGGGTTACTGGCTTATCGGGGTAACTTGTCGGATTTAAGGTACCACAGTTTAAATTGACTTATTCGTTCCCTTACATTTTGCCCAGACTACCTTAAATCTGACAAGTTACCCCAATAAGCCAGTAACCCCGCTTCGTAGTGCAGGCCACAGGTTGATCGAGTTTTTGAGGAACTGATATCTCTGGCTCGTGTTTTAGTTTACTGGCCGCTATGCAGATGGAGCTGCAGCTGTTTTCTGGCACTGCAGGGTTAAATGCCACATAAGCACAGAGGAGGCCTATAGCTGATTTACAATGTCTTAATAATTAATTTCCCACTATTGGATGTGGAGCGTGATCGCTAATGGTGCAGCAGTGCCGGGTAGCCACGTGCAGTTGCCACCATCCGTGAGCTGCCGCAATTGATCAATGATGGTTTCATTTGCAAGGCATTTAACGTGCTGTAGATATAACTTCTTTATAGCTAGTTAACTTTCACCCTTCGCTCTGCGCCATGCTGTCTAAGGGTGCTTTTGCACCACTGCACCAGGTACTGTACTTTTGGTACTTTGATAAAGTACTAAAATTACAGTACTTCAAGTTGTTGGTTTTCCACTGCCGTAAAAACTGGTACCGGCGCCAAGTGACATCACAACTCAAGTTGTGGTATTTTGTACTAAAATCGAAAAATTACTGTAGTATCTTATAGGGCTGGATGATGTGCAATATTAATACCAACATCGCATGTTAAACACATACAGTTCTTACATCGTCAGCTATATTAAAATCAGGCTTTTTCTTACTCTCATTGCGTGAGGGGTTAAATTTTTTTTTTTTTTTTTTACGAATACCCTAATATTTATTGCAGCAAAATGACATCGCTATATTTACAACAAAAACACATCACTAGGATCCTAGTATATTTTACCATAGTCTGTTATATTAAACAAAATACTTTTTAAATTTCTTGTCATGCCATCGCGATCATTTTGCTGTATCTGTTTTTCTGACCGGATCACAGTTATTTTAACTTTATCGTTTTCTGAGTCTGTAACTGTTTGTGTTGTGTTTCAGCAGCAGGCTATTTGCATAACCAATCGACAAAGAAAGCGTTTCAATTCCCACCCCAAAGTACCAAAGAAGTACCCCAGCTGGTTTAGCACTTTTGGTACTGGTACTAAAAAGTCAATGGAAAAGTGAAAGTACCAAAAGTTTGGTACTTGGTGTGGTGGAAAAGCACCCTAAGTTCACTTTTGGGTTGGAAAAATTAGTTGAGTTACTATTCCATCTGTGGTAACCTGTCCTGAATTGTGATAGGTTTCCTCAAAAGATATAACTGACACTTTTCCTCTATTTCATAACCAAATAGTAGGAGAGTTCTGGAGGTTATCTAAACACCTTCTTTGTTTGATTGTCCTTGAATTTTCTCTGAAAAAATTATTTGTAGCTGACTATTCATGATTTAAATGAATGAGTATCACTGCTGACGTCTGAGGTACTTGATCTCTAAGTGTGCTGGTTCCGTGTTTGTTTCATACTTTCCAAGTCATTGAAATAATTTTCTCTCTCTTTCCAGGTGCTTCAGTCGGCAAAGGAGCAGATCAAGTGGTCCCTTTTGCGATAGGGCAGCTCCGGGAAATCAGGAAAATGTGGAAAGCGGAGGCCTTGTCCTCTGAGACCTCTCTCAATTCCATTTCTACTTTTGCCGTCTGTGTTGTACCTCCAATAACTGCACTGAATCATCTGATTGTTCCACCAGTCAGAATTATCAAGGGACCCTGTTTTTTTTTTCCCCACCTCCTTGTATTTACACAACTCATTCATGCTGGATTCATTCTTCATATGTTCTTTTTAGTACCAACATAAACAGAACGTTTAATTGAAACTTACATGTGAGCTACCCGGCCTTTCCCCTGACAAGTACATACAGTCCCGATTTAAAAACCCCTTTTTGGGTTTTTGTCTTTTGGCAGATTTTTTTGTGAAGAAGGGAAAAAATATATAATCCTTCCTGGCAGCTTGCAGGAGGTGTGCTTCTATGGTCCATTGTTAAGAGTGAATACTGGCTTTCAGATAGTCCTCTGCATGTCTGTATACTCACCTCAGTCTTTGCGTTATGTCAGTGATACAAACCGCTAGCGGCTTTCTTTGCTGCGCGACAGCTGCCTGCTGCCCACTGACATTGGATATGTGAGAACGTTTTCTGATGCATGTGCATTAAGAAGGCAGTGGCATTTAAATACTCTGGCTGCATTCAGAAATACTAGCTTTTTGATAGCACTGCCTCTTTGTTTCGTTGACGTTCTTGAACATTTGCTGGGACATTTTTAAACTATTTGACTATAAATGACAATGTCATCACCTCAGCTAACACATTACATCTGAAATCTGTAGGGTCTCCGGGCTTGAGTTTGGGCCCATGATCTGCATTGTTAATCATGAGCTTTATGCTATTTTAATACCAGTGTAATGCAGGTCTGTTGGTGGTTACTGGAACGACACTGGACCAGCATTAAGTGTTTAGATGTGGCCCCACAATTCATTGAACTTACAGGGTCTTTCTGTCCAAAGTTGAATTATTTGTGTGATTTAATAAAATGCTCTTTGCAATGCTCTTGATAAATGCACTGAGAAGAAAATTACCTGTTGAATTTGAATTGCTGACTGGGGATAACTTAGGGATGAAATAAAACATTTGTTCTCTGTTTCTAATTTGTTTTCATTCCCACGTTTTAAATTATCTATCGAAGTACAAGTAGTTGACTATAGTTCATATGCATGTTTTTGTATTTTTTTCGTTAGTATCTGTATGTTCTGTCGAGGTCTTTACGCAAGCGCGGTAATGGCGTTACGTTTAACAGGTAATGGCTCCATCTACTGGTAGACAGCAAGAATTTCTACATATTTAGCAAATGTTAAAGTATACATACGCCTAAAACTACATTATAAACGGTGTGACTGTGTGATAAGGTACCCAGGTAATACAGAAATAATTATAAATATCCTCCCAATTGCCTTTGATTTATATGCTAACATTTTTTAATTTCAGGAGTAATGTAAAAATATACAAACCTTCTGCAATGTTGTTGAAAGTTTTCCCCCTTCATGTCCTTTTCGTAATTCTAGCATTGTCTGCGTGCTTGGGCTTGTAGATTTTGCCGGAGGAGACAATATTTGTTTATCAAACCCGTTGTTAAATTTCAAGAGCAATTGGCAGCTTGCTAGAAGAACTGTTTTAGCTGTTCAGCGTGTGTTCGCTTCAGGCTGCTTCGGCGTGTCAAGATGAAACCTTAAAATTAAAAACGTGTGTTGGTTATGTAAGTCACTCATATTCTTCCGCAGAATGCCCGACATCATTTTAATTCGCTAATTACTGTGACCCACCCATTAGAAGGTAATTTATATTAACTATACAATAATCGGTATAATGGTCCGGAATTCTGTGGTCTGACACGCTGTAAAAGTGTCAGCGCATGTGGGCTGGAATGATGCAACTGGCGAGTGTGTACATTGAGTGTGTGAGAGAACGTGTACGCAATAGTCATAAATTACTATAATTTGAGAGTACCCTCTTTACATAACTGTCTGTTTCGTCGCGTTACCTTTCAGTGACATTTTCTGTCCATAATCAATAAGGGTCCCTAAGTGTGTGTATGTGTGCGCGCGCAGGCGTGCATGCAATTGTGTGTATGGCGTTATGTTCTTCCATGTTTGCATATATGCAAAGGTCATAGGCCTGGCCTCAGAAGATTCATTGAGTGCAGACGTTGCGCAGTTAATCTTTTGTTACATGCAACAAATTTAGAGCTATGACTGCAAGCGGGCGTATTTCAGCTGATGTCACAGGATGAGAGAGCCAAAGAAAAGTAATAATAAAAGTCGTGCAGCGGCAGTTTGCCATACGGTTGGGATTTCTATTTCATGGGAGCTGGGCAAACAAGATTGTTAAAGCAGTTCTGGCCCTTGTTTACTCCGGGTCGTTTTATTCCATAATTTTTAGATTTAAACCGAGAGGCGACTTTTTGGGGTACAACGGAATGGGACTGTGCGGTGACAGGACTGGTAAGGGCACGGCTTTACGAGATGGATGTGTCGGGCCAGTCATCGGGGACACGCAGCATCTCTTAGCCGCTCGCCGTGTTTTATTGCCGTGGTCGCCCTCATTGCTGCCATTTATGGATTCTCGCAGAACAGAAAGCCATTTCAGCCCCGGCGCTTAGGGGGCCAAAAACAACACCAACATGGCTCACTTTTTCTCCCCCTGGGCAATAACTCAGGACTATCGCCAGGAGACATCAGTGCCTTTGCGTTAAATAAAAAGAAAAAATTATTGTCGCATTCAGCGCCCTCTACCACTGGTTACTTTGGTTTGTTGGTCTCGAAATACGATGGTGCAGACGTTGCTGTAATAAGACGAAACGTAAAAAGGTATAATGCCTCATCCGTAAGAGATATCATGAAAAGAAAAGTGCCATTTTCTAATAGCATGACAGATTCAGGGTATTCTTCATGAAATTAAAGAATGCGTCAGTGGAATCTGTTTTGAGCCAGGATTGGAGTCGTCATTTATTTATTAGTAATCTAATCAAAAGTGTGTCTGTCTACACAGACAAACATATATATATATAGATATGAATTATTTCCTCAAAATCACAGACGCCCAATTGAAGCACACTTTTCAGGGCAGTAAATAAACGCTTATAATATATAAATTTGTGAGAAAGTTCTAGGTAACATTACAGTCAAATCCTGAAAATGGTGGTAATGAAAAGCGTCTGGATTAGTGTATTTATATGGATTTGTGTCTCTGGGGGTGGATGCAAAGCTGAATAAATAAGGGTTATATTAATTACTTATATTAATGTATTTGTGCTTTCTTCACGTCTGTTTTCACAGCAGCTGTGAGGCTTTTGTGTGACTTTGTTTTTTTTTGTGGTCATGTTTGGTCTTGTTCGATTAATAAATTTTGTGTGACTATTGGCTCCAAACTGCATGTTTGGCAATTTTGACACTCAAAGAAGAAAGAACGCCACGATATTTGTTGAAATGTTTTTCATTTTGAAACCTCTCTCTCTTTCTCGCCCTTCCCCCCCCCCCCAGCTACCCTCACCATGGATTCCCCAGCAGTAACCCACCGCCCATTAACAGGACTGCTCCTGACAGATTTACTGCCATCGCCCCACCACTGGCCGCCAAGCTGACAGCTGTGAATTAATGCTGCTCTCCCATTGGTGGAAGTCTGACAGGCAAATTTATTGGTGCACTGTGATTCGCTGTTGCATAGCTTTGAAGTGAGTTACAGCCCCCTCGCTGATGGAACACAGAAGCGGTGTCAGGTTGCAGTCATAAAACTCCTGTTCCTGAGGGAAGGTTGGTATGCTTGGACTTGGCGTCATGAAGGGAGGAGGGAGGGAAAAGAGAAAGAGAGAGAGAGAGAGAAAGAGAGATTCTATGTGCATATCTGAAAGTATTTTTGAACTACATATACATTGTTCAAAATTTAATGAATCTGCTCCTAAGTCACATCTAGTTAGAGATTGCAGAAATACCTCAGCTCACATTTGGTGTACTGTGTGCAGTTTGGTTGTTTCCTGTAGCATTTGTGTTCAGATTTTTCGCATAATGATTTACAGATGTCCCAGGGGAGAGCATGCCCCAGGGAGTTCTGAAAAAGGCAGCTGGATAAAATGCACATTATCACAGACCATGAAAACACTAATAACCATGGGAACATAATTCCTGATAGTAATCTAGGTTAAAGCAGGACTCCCATTTGAAATTGTGGTCATTTATACAAGAAGTATATATTTTCAGTATAGAATATTTCTCTAACTCTCCATATCCTTCTTGAAAGTAGTGTAAAAGCCTGATTTTCTATGATTGTGCTACAAAACTGAAATTTAAATGGCAAACAAGCTGCACAACTGTGTATGCTCTGTACTGTAAGGTGGTGGATATTAGCTTTTGCATCTTCGTGGAAGGTTACGTTCTTCTCCAGCAGCAAGTATGGATTCTCCCCAGTGTGGCTGTGGTTGACATGCTCCCTGTTCCCAGCCTCTAGCCAATGTCTCTGTAATACCACAGAAAAAAAGTGTGACTTTTTACACATGGGTTTCAGCAGCAGGACTGTGCTGCCCGATTTCGTTTTGCACACTGGTTTCCTGTCCAGTCTCATGCTTCTTCTTGCACAGGTTGCCCTGTCTGTCTGCCAGGTCCGCTGACCTGATGGTCACTCCCAGAGGCTTCAAAAACAGCTTCATAAAAATATTCTCTCATATTGTTTTTGTACTTGAAAAATGTTTTACCTGTGTAGCACAGTGATTTGGCAGAGACACTGCTTAAAACCTTTTGGGTCAGGAATAAGACTTGTCCTATTGAATGGACATCCCATAATTACTTGGTGGCACTTACACTCCTGTGCACCGTCCCTTTGCGGATCTCCTGCCATTCCGAACATCAGTGCTGCATCATGTCTCCCCAGCCTTTGTTTAGTTGAATAAACTTCACTGGTGGTATAATGAAACCCAATTTCATAACAGACGACTGACTAATCCTGAATGAGACGTGTGTGTTGTCTAAGGGACAGAAGATTATTGGCGCCTTGCCAGGTTGAAGGTTTGTTTTGGACCCAACTTTTTTGAAAAAGAAAAAAAACACACCATGTCATCAGAACTGTCAGCGGGATTTTTTTCTCAGAACAAACTTTATGGGGTAACTCTGTTGCTAAACATCACGAGGGATGATGCCTTTTTTCTCCACTCAATGGGCCCTGGAAGACAAGTTGTGCTATAACTGCACTTCTGTTGTGCATTGATGGCAAAACACAGTTTAATGTCTCCCGTGTGTCTGAGGTGTACATCCTTAGTACCTGAATTGGTGGATTTTCTTGGTTATTACAGTTTGATATTTAAAAATCAAATAAGACATGGAGTAGTTTTAAAGTGTGACTGTAGGCCATTCTGCTTGTTTTAGGCACTAAGAAGATGAAATTTGTGAATGAGAAAAAATAATTATCAGAGCTGCGCCACATCTGTCAAACGGTTCCTGTATCTTGGTAGATTATCTGTTTTTTCGTAAATACATTCACATTGAATCTTATATCTGCTGTCCCATATTGATTCCCGCATACTAGAGACAATATTGGTTTGTTGTTGCTCTGGTTACTAGCACGTCACCATGTGAATCTGGAAGTGTAAGGAGGACAGAGTGAAGGCTAGAAGCCCTTGCTGGTACCGTTAGAACATGCAGCAGTTTGTCAATTAAGCCTGCATCGCAGATGCAGTCTAATAAGGAATATTTACCCTAGCCCCTGCAACATCTTAAACAATCTGTGTAAAATATAATAAATGTATTAATTATATTGATTATTTTAAAAGAATTTTATGAATATAAGTGAATTTACTAACCTTAGAAGAAACACATTTTTGGTAATATATACAATTCTTTTTTGCTGTGTGAAACATTTTTCATTGTATTTTTCTTCCTTGATCTGCACTGTATATTCTGGCTGCGTCTTCTGTTTTCTTTTAGGCTCTGGAGAAAGAGTGAAGGAAAATGAAAGGATTCAGTAACTCTCACTGAGGACAGAACAAAGAAAATTCAGTCTCCTTACATAACATCTCTAACCAGACCATGTGGGGGGGAAAAAAAACAGTGAGCTCTTTATTTGCCTTATTCACATATAATTTAAGCAGTTTGAGACTGCACAGACATAGAAACCCTATCTGCCTAAAAGCTGTAAGAAGCAGTGCACAAAACATGTCTGAATTCGCTCCACTGTAAGCCATTTTGTCTGTAAGCCAGCTGCAGCAGTCAGGGGGGAGGATCCAAAATGGCTGCCCCCTGCCCGACCCTGCCGAGGCCCTTAGTCTCATGTGCGAAACACTTTCTTTATTTCATAATACAGCATTAAAAAATATTGCTTTGGGAATTTTGTCTCGAGAATATGTCTAGAATTTATATGTTTTCATTAAACTAGACCTCAGAAGACTCATCACAGTGGAATTGTTATCAGTATTATCTTACAAAATGGCTATTAATCCCAAATGAAATCAATACAAGAGTAATTATTGAATAAGAGAGTAATGGATATAATATACTTTGATATTAAATGAAGTGATTGAAATAGCTGTTTGACTTTAATTGATATGGACCTACTAGTATTTTTCTTTTTGTCCAAAATAGCATGTTGTTATCTGCTAAGCACGGGTAGTTGTAACATTTTGATTAATCATTCATATTAATTAATAAACATCTCTGGCAGTAATTATTGTATTTGTCTACAGATACACATAAGTACCATTCTGGCAGAACAGTCGGTAGAATCACCTATATTTGTTGACAATGTAACTGGCGTAATGTTAAATAAGTTTGCCAACATGTGTACAAAAATACATGCAGTTTTAAAATTGTGTTTGTTAAACTTAAACTTCACAAGCTTTATCTTTAACACGCGTATACCGAGCATTTTATTTACATACGTTTAATACAGAGAAATCTGGATATATTGTTTGAAAACTGGAACGGATAAACGATTAGAAGATGACGTATGTATGGATGTATCTCATCGTGTAAGCCTTTGATAAGACAGAGGGTTCGCGATGCTACCGAGGGTCCCTCACACATCGGGTCATACATCCCCTTTCCTAAATATCACCGTTAATTAAGGGAGCGGTGGACCCTTGACGTAGATAAAATGGAGTATTGAACTAGAGCCTGATGTATCTCTCAATTAAACGTTGAAAAGAGCGCATCTTCTGGTTGGAGAAAAGGACGATTTATATTGCTGAGAAAAATCAATGCCAGTGTGCGACATTTGGGTTCACCAAAAACAAGTAAAAAGACAAGTCGCGCTCAATGAATTGTAATTAAAGCTGACTGGTCTTGAATTTCTGATGTGGGGCGTTTTTATAGAGCAGATGCAATCAGGGCAACCTGAAGATGCGCTTTACTTTAACTTTGTGCGCAATGCGTTCATAGGAAGCCGTGCAGTGATGAGGCGGACTGCCCGCGCACGTCAAGGCAGGGGAGGAATGAGATCCCAGGGTTTCCTCTGACTTTTCTCAATGTCAGTTCACAGTGTAGTATTATTGAATAAATATTTCCATACTCCATTTCTACTCTGCGGTCTGATATGATCTCTTGACGAGCCGTAAAGGATTTATCTGCGGAGTGAGACACAAGTACCGGCGCTAAATATCCAGTACCCGGCGGCCAGACCCCTCACGACACACGTGGGGCACTTGGCAGCAATAAACATCCTTTGGGGCACACGACTTCCGCTCGAATGACAGATATTATAAATTAACTTTATTTACAAGTCCGCCTAAAAATTGATTGTGCGGAGAATGAATTATGCGTTTCTCAAACCGCTTTAAGACTGAGCAGCGTACGTCTGGACCAGGAGATCGGAGAAGATAAGAGCAGATAAACTCATGGAGACTAAGCATCGGAGATGACTGTGGTGGAACATTGATTTCTCCTCCTCAGGCCTCGCAGCTTTTTCTTCTCTTAAAATGACACTTTAAGTGCACCGAACCTCTAAGGCGTAGTAAATCAGCGCAATAGCCAGGTTTAGACCCCGTGTTCCCTGGAGGTGCAATTTAACCACTCCAGTCTGCGGGTCTGATCTCATTGCACTCCCCACCTTTGATTTCGTTACGATCAATAAGGGGGTGGGATGGGGGGCTGGACGAGTTCTTTGATTTCCCTGCTGTTATCTGCGGATTCTTGCTCCATGCGTCGACTTAGTTTTATTAAAGTGCCTAAACGGTAAAACTGTCAGGCACCAGCGGCCTACATGCGCTATTTTCTTCTTTCTTTTTCGATATACATTTAAGCCACGACTTCTTGATAATAAGCTACCACTTACAATAACGTGCTTAGAGAATAAAATAAATTTAGAGAAAGTATGTGCGGGATCGTCGCATTGCACGGCTCGCTACTAGGCCTGGGCTTACGTAAGTTATTTATACGCGTAATAGTCAGGGCGGAGATTACGTTGTGCATACATGTATTTTTCCAGAAACAGGCATCTAGCGAGGATATGAGAATTTAGTGAACTGTGGAATAAAACGATTAAAAATAAAAAAAAATTCCTTTATTTTTTTTTTTAAACTTTACGATTATAGTGGTAATCTTTTACTTAATATTCAGCTTCATGTACTAAATACCGTCATGCTTGTTGTTAAGTGTTCCTATTTACCATACGTTGAAAACTAAATATTTGTTTTGATCTTTAATTTGATCGGATCATCATTTCACCATGTCTAGGGTGGAGTTGGGGATGTGTTAAGATAATCAGGGTTTTCCCTGTTTTCCTGCGAATTGACTGATGTGGGATGAAGCGTTGGAGATGTAGGTAATTAGTGAATACTGTAGCGAACAGACATAAATCATTGCACTGTCTTGTAATCATTAAATCATTTAGTCCTGTTGATAACTCATGTTGAAACACAACTGCAGATATATCTGTAGGCTACTACATTTTTACATCTTTATTTTTTGTGTAATCTAAGTGTATTCTGCTACTTTATGAATAAAACAAATGAAAATTATTAGCAAAACGTGCTACAAGATGAATGATGATTATTCCTTTATTTTAAGTGCTCCTTTCAAGATATGTTTAAGTGGTTTAAAGAAGGATTTTTCTTTTTACTACACTGAAGTACTCCCTCTAGCGGAGCAAGCTTTCTCATTTCTCATTTGATATAGACCAGGGCTGTCAGAATCATTTAAGTTAATAACCGGCCACTTTGGACGCAATCCAGTATGCTAGCCAAACCAGGGAAATATATGTGAAGTAGGGTAATAACACATTAGTGACACCTTTAACGGTCTTTCTCACTCTTTTATGTAGCAAGATATATTCTGAATGCACAAATAGTTTGATCATAAATCACCTACAAATGATGTTTGTTTTACAATGTATCAATGGTTTCTCCAATACAGGCTGCCCTCACGATTGCATAACATTAATGGTGCTTATTATAATGTAATTACTGGTGTAATTCAAGATTAACAATATCTGATGACAAACTGACACCTTTAAGTAGAAAGAACTTCACCTGCCAGCAGCACGTTATGGTAAGGAAGCCCTATAATGGCCATTCAGTGCAGTTTATACAGTTAACTGCGAAGTTAACCAGGTGAAAGTCTGACACAATTTGGGCAACTTTGAGCAGGCATATCTTCACAAATCCACCATTCTAGTACAATTTATGGTAGCATGACTACAATTAAAAATGTACTACAGTTTCTCCAGTGAGCCAAGTTTTATACTTTTCAGAGTGGAATGCAGGTCTTTCTTCAATTTGATGTATTCTTACATCATCTTGTGAAATGGATTAGTGATATTTTTCAATTCATGCAGACTACTGGAAGAGTTTGACAGCTGTCCTGAGGAATGTAGTTCTCAGTACAAACCAGAAAAGCACTTTTACTCAACAACTCTACTAAATTGTTAGTTCTATTTACTCCTGAATGACATTCTATGTGTCTGAATGCATCCTGTACAGGGGCCTCGGAACCAGGGGGGATTGGGGGCATGTATCCCCCAGTATTTAATTTGGCTTTGCTCATCCCCCCAATACACAGACCGGTGTATTTAAATAAGTTGTGTCTCTCTTATGCCCTTGATCCTGAAGAAAATATGACCCGCTTTTTTTTCATATAAATTTGACTACATGATCGACATCAAGACATTTATATGTCATTTATATTCCTTATTGTCTACAATTAATCAATAAACATTTTGCCAGTACTTACATAAAACAAATTATGATTGTTAATATTGTTGGTGCTACAAATACAGCAAAAATATGGTGTAAAACTAGACAGAATGCTAACTGGAAACTGTTAGACAGATAAACACCCGCAAATTAAATGAGAAAATTACCATTTTATTATGAAAACAAAGTAAGTGTTCTTTGGTGCAGGTTCTTCTCAGAGCGAACAAGAGGAACAAGGCTGTACATTGTGTTTAGTGATGAAAAATGCAAATAAAGTCTTAAAAAGTAATTAATTTTATTATAAGGGAAACTCTGTTCTTCACTCCATAAAACATAAATGTGGGTCTTAAGAGAGTACATATTATTTTATCTGTTTTAACAATTACCATGATAACAATAAAAAAGTTTTACCCAAATCCTTCTTTACTAAATCAAAGAATTAATATCTATTTAGCAAAACTCTGCATGCAATACTATGAATAACAAAAAAAACACACTACCTATTATCTGCAGGACTATTGTATTTGCTTTCTACAATTCCTACCAAAACCCATTTGCTAAAAATGAGGAAGGAAAGCAGTATGAAAACTACCATTTTCTGAGGTACTATATCCCCCCCCCCAACCTTTCATCCCAGCCAACAGAACTCAATTTAAACCTTAAATTACTAACACAATACTAATATCCAAGTACTGGTCACTCATTTATCGTTAAAAAAACAAAAAGATTTCATTTTCTTAAGACAAAAAATAACGGTCTATAAAGAAATGAATACACCCAATATTGAACTGTTTTTATACTCCAGTGTTTAAAAATAGACTAGAAAACCATAGTTCTTGAGGTTCGTTAACAGAATTATCATTATACAAGGATACATCTACCAAGCCTTCGCCTTGCCTCTCTCCCTTGTCGTTTGCATGATCTTCAATCTGAAAACCTCATTGCTCATTAAGCTGGGCTCGATTTCCATAAGATCTGATACAAAGTAGCACAATGGGTGACCTTTAATGGTGACCTGGCAGCAGTGTCTCCACAGTGGGTCACACCTGGTGACACTAGTGTGGCATCACATACCCACACGCCTACATGTTCTCATGACAGGAATCACCCACCAAGATAACCACCAACGGGGCCGAGGGCATCTCTGTAATACTGAGGGAGCGGCATCCACCAGTAACTTAGACAACAATACCAGTCTGCACAAGCATCCAAAAAGCAGTAACCAGACTGAGATATGAAGACGCAAAGTGGGATTAGAATATTATACATTACAGACCATGGAACTCAAACCCATAATACACAATCCACTCTCAGATTTCACCATGTTTCTACTTTAAATACATAATTACAGAAATCTGAGGTGTAAGCAAAGTATCTGTGAGTGATAAGAGAGCTATGTGATTCTGAAGGTCTGTCTCTTGCATACAGTGAAATACAATGTCCCAATTCAGGTTCCTCCTACCACAACAAGAGTGTCAGTCATGTCCAAGGTATTACTACACAAAGACTGACACACCAAAGGACTAAGACCACTCCAGCTCTGAAGTGTTACTTTGGAGAAGTAAAAACCCAACTACAAGTTTTCAGTTACAATGGCAATGTTTGTGTTAAACAATGGACAGATGTTAAAAGTGTATATAATTCTGAATGCCACAAAACTTTGTCATTTTCTTGTTATTTAATGAACAGATATATGTGTTTATAAAAAAAAGAAATCACCTTCTGTATCATGGTCTGGGTCATCAGTTATGATGTATGCTGCAGTTTCATGATGTTCCCATGACCAAAGATTATTTGTCATTTTCACCTGACTCATGTCTGGTTACTTTTTTAAAAGCGATGTGCTATTTTGTCAAAATATCCTTTTTAGCCTATGTTTGTAGTAGTTTAACTTTCAACAGAGCCACAATTATTAGATAGTTACCTCTTACATAATATTTTTTTCCAGTACCATCATAATCATTAAATTATTAGGTACTCAAAGGTTTTTAAAACAGGTATATAGAAAACTTCTGGAGACCAAATCGCAGTTCAGATCTAGACTGTCAGTGACTGATCGCGACATGGAGCCCATAGCAACAAATCAAATTCATATCATCCTGCCAAGGGAGGGAGAGAGTTGGGCCAGGAGGTACTGCATGACTGCCTACTCCTGGCAGATACTCACATCTGAGAGGCACCTGTGAGTAACTGGTAAGTGAAGGTGAGACTCCTCCTATCTCCTCCTATCTGCATGGCACAGATGTGGAAAGGGGGGCAGGGCTGACAGGGGTACAAACAGGAAGGGGGGCAGGGCTGACAGAGGTACAAACAGGAAGGGGGAGGGGCTGACAGGGGTACAAACAGGAAGGGGGAGGGGCTGGCAGGGGTACAAACAGGAAGACCGTCTATTAACCGCACTCAGTCTCTTGGTAAAAAACGAGGCGTTGTCAACTAGGGTGAAACTTATCTTTTTAAAACATAACTAATATTAAAATAATAATAGTAATATTACATAGTTTCAGCACAAACACAAACTTGACTAAAGCTGCAATATCAACATGGATCAGGGAATGGCGGCCTTCTGCCTGTACGCGTTTGCTCGCTGTGTCTTCCTGGGGTGGAGGTCTGCTGGAGAGAAGGACGGTCAGATCGGCAGGCGACCAGACAGAAGATGCAGGGCGCTCCAGGCCACAGCGGGGTTTGGGGGCTCCTGGGGGTACGGCCTGGGCTCGTAACACGGCTGGGCCGCCGCCTTGGGGGCAGCTGGGATTCCAGGGACCCCCGGGACCCCCTGGCCCCCGCAAAGCCGTCGATGTCGCAGCAGCCGGTCCGTTCTCGAGAAGGTCTGACAGAACAGGACAGTGAGAGGGGACAGGGGGACACGCGTGGAGCGTGTGACACGCGTGTGCTGTCGGTCTCTCACCTGCTGACAGCGCTCACACTGGTAGGGCTTCTCCCCACTGTGGATTCTCTTGTGTCTCCCCAGGTGGTAGCGCTGGGTGAACCGCATGTCACAAATGTCACACGCGAACGGCTTGTCCCCTAAAAACACAGGACACTACATTGTAATATAGGTCTTTGACAGCAGAAACCATGAATATTCATTGTGCCACAGTCACCATGAAACCTTACAGTCAGAGCTGTAATTTCATAACTTATGTAGTTTGTGACAGTTGATATAAGGAAGCATGAACCACACCAATATGTACATTTCTATTGACATTAATAAAATAAAAACCATTAGGTCAGATTCAAGGAAGCTTGCCAAGTGCAGATACTCACATCTGATATATATTTAACTGCACCAGTTTAACTCCATGTACTAAATGATGGAAAGCACAGTACACCAGTGCAAAAAACACCCATTTATTTGCTGGCAATCTTTGTTTACTAGCACAGTAAAACGTTTGTGGTCCTTAAAATCCCATGAACAAAACCAATTAAAGCTAAACTCACTTGTAAAAACCATCTCCCTGAGGTGAATTGCCATCACTTTACACAGCAAAATACGAAGTAGGTATCTCAGGAACACAACTAACACAAAACACACGCTACACAGTTTACGATAAACTTGTGCATCCTCTGCTCCATAATAACTTAAGGATGTTCATTGTGCTCAGACATGAAACAAGGCAATTCAGCCTAAGATATTTATTTCATTACATGGGCAACACATTTTATGGTGTGAAAAGCTTATCATATTTGATTGAAAGGTACACATAATTACGCCTGTTTTAACAATACCAAATACAACGGCAAAAACTGAATTCAATTATTTTACTTACAGGAAGAATACGGCCTAATTAGCCAGATTTATGTCCACATATGCATGTAGTACTATTAATATGAGAAAGAGCAATCTTAAACAGAAGCCTACCAAGCTGAATTCCTACCACGACCTTTTAATTAAAAAAGGAGACGGACAGCATTACAAATTCTGGCGTTTCCTGAGGCACTGCCCCCCCCAAAAAACGTCGAGAAAAAAACAAAAAAACTAATAGAACCACTAAAATCATCTAAATTCTGACACAAGAAATAAACACAAACTAACTCATTTATAGCTAACAGCTGAAAAAATAGTTATTCGAAAAAACACTTTCAATTTGTTATAGTTAAAAAACTACTTAGAATGAGGTCGTTCTGCTGACTCGAATGTGAATATAACAATAAAGTGACATAAAGGATGCAGCAAGGACCCCCCAGGACTAGCCAGACTTTCTCCATCCTTCTCACTCCCGTCAATAAGATGAGCTCACTGACTAAACCACTACAGTAAGCAAACAAATCCAGCATCAATCAGCAATTTCATTAAGATATGGAAATGCAACAAGGAATCTTCATCACAGTCCATGGTTTGCTGCTGTAAGACAGTAAAGCTCTTAAATCACCCAGCAGCATCACATATAATCCTGCATCTCATGCAAGGAAACCCTGCAAGTCAGCCAAAGCCAACTGGGGCTTGTTTTCTATGCTCAGCTAATATATCAGTATGCTAATCAGTAAATGCTTCTGGTTAGGATATGAAGATCACAAAGACTGTGAAATAACTAGAAGAAAAAAATGTTTTAAAAAATCGATGCAGTACATTACACATAACTATTTAAAGCAAAAAAGCACATAATATATTCTACAATACAAAAAAATGACATATAACACAAATCAGCATAGGTAGGCAAGTAAGTGGTAGCAAAACAAGAGGGTTTTGGCCAATAAAAACCAAACAGCAGCAAAAGTGACCAATCAAAAAGGTTTCTGTGGAGCCAAATAGTTAATAAATCTAAACTATACCAGCTGCTGAAAGATAAGAGCAACAAAGGTTGCAAACAAGGTAAACAGAGAATTTCCCTGAAATGTTAGGGACAGTTTTGTATTAACTTTGAAGGTGAGTTTTAGAAAATTCAGTTTAAAAAACCAGAGTTAAGTCTCAGAACACACACACTATATAGTCACACTATAATATGTGTGTCTAAAGACAAGATTTGCCATTTTCCTACTTAATTCTGAGCACTAGTATCTGTCCAAAAAGGTGCTATAACAGCTAATTGCTTATGTCATGCCCTGAGTAGTTAATGAATTTTAAAAAAAACTACAGTGTTATTATTAGGTCTACTAAAGTTCAACTTCAGCTCAAATACTGAATCGTCACTTTAAGTTTGTTCATGTCATTCAGCACAGTTTTCATGGGCGCTCCCGAAATTTGGTTTTCTAAATGAAACTTTTCACTTACATTTTATTTGTTTATTTATCCAAGGCACTGTATGATCTTTGAGAAAGCAGGGCCAGAGTCTGTGAAGCAACTGGGGTTAACCTGCTCAAAGGTTCAACAGTGAAATCCTTCTGCTGGTTCTGGGAATGGAACTAGCGACCTTCTGATCTCAGACCTATCCTATTCCACGGAGCCACACACAACCCCCCCTTTAACACTGACAAATACCAAATAAATTATTTTTGCCCCAAATTCTTATATTTTTAGATGTGATGTGTCATTGTATTCAAAATACTCATATCAATTTTTTTCTGATTCATTAACTTCCACATAAATCCACCACAAGGTCACTACAGCCACTTCATTCCTGCACCAAATAAAAGCACAAACTACAAATATAAGCTAAAACTGGTACCTTTAAATAGTGCATCAACTGAATAGGCATTTTCCTCATGCAAAGATGTAGTACTTTATCCCTCACCATCATTCACACCGGGACTGCACCATTCACACCGGGACTGCACCATTCACA